CGGATAAACCGATTAGAATAATTCAAAAACATTCGATTCCTACTGAAAACAAAACGTGCTGATTAGTTTTAGGCAAAGGCAGGTCTAGCCGTTTTGGAGATACGGGGCAAAAAGAGACAGAAATGGTAATTCAGTTTTTGAGCGAACGGAGCCTTCCGACTTGAATAATTCAAAAAACGTTTTATTTGTGTTGACAAAATGAAGTACCGTTTAAATTTTTGCGGAGACAGGTCAATGTGTTTCAGAGATCGAGTAAAAAAAAGTAAACTAGTTGGTATTGGTATTTTTCCTTGAGGCAAGTTACATGAACTTCCCGATATGTGTAAATAATCGATTTAATCAATAAAAATAAATTAATTTATGAGTGATTAAAAGTATTCCGAGTGGCTTCATTACACATAATTGTAAATGAACGAACAATCTATCGTTATACCAAGTAAATCATCTAATTTTAATTTTAACAAACGCCAAAAAAAACTACTCATTTTCTCAAACTTTGATGAATTTTTTAAATTAAACTACTTGTCGTAAGGCCGTAATATTTCAGTAAGTTCTATAAGACCATGATATATATCGACAAAAAAAATTGAAAATCGATTCGGTGGTATGAGTTTAAATGTGGACGAAAAGTTTAACACTTTTTTCCAACTAACAAAGAAATGGCTCGGCCGATCGCTGCACAAAACGGAGAAAAAAATAATCCACTTCAAAATACATCGATTGGCTTTTAAATTTTTGAAATTTAAAAGCCAATTGCTCATTTTTGAGCAAACGCCGATGAGTTATAATTTTCACAAACGCCAAAAAAACGTCACTAATTTTATCAAACTTTGACGATTATTTAAAATTAAAAGACTTGTCGTAGGACCGTAATATTCTAGTATGATCTATAAGACTATGGTATCTACCGTCAAAAAAAAAATCATGAAAATCGTTGAAAAAAAAAATTTTAACACCTTATTACAAGAAAACGGCCCGGCCGATCTTTACCAAAAACTAATCAGGTCGATTCCCAACCATCATGTTTCGAACAGTTTTTGAATTTTCAAAATCGATTCAGAATTGCGGGCTGAAACGTGGACGAAAAATTTTTCACTTCCACTTGACCACTGAGCGGTCAAAATTGATCATTAGACATATGCACATCAAATTAAGAGATATTTTATAGAGATTTTAATAATAAGTATAAATTTTGTTTACAGTTTTAATGATTCGATATTTTTGTTCTAAAACAGCCACACTATCGTTTGAAAAAAAGTTATTTTTTTTCAAAAACATAAAATTCTGAAAAATATCATTGTTTCAAAGTTTTTAAAAAAAATTAAAGCTTTTTAAAGAAATTAATTTTTGGTATGGAAAATTCCAACAATTTGGCACAATGCCATGCATCACTAATTCATTCAATGGATTATGTAAAAATTACCTATACCGTAGGTATATTGCACGGTTACTAAAGGTGAAATGTGAACAAATAAGCCTTTCGGAGACAAAACAGATCTAGCTAGACATAAACCGGCTATGTTGTTCATTGTCGATATTTTCGTATTTCGTGTGTAAGTTATTTACGACTCTTGGTATACGCATACTCAGCCACAAGTTGTCTCTGAATTGACGTGTGCGTGATCACAACGCTGATACGCGAATTGGAGGTACCACCGGTCAAAACATTCGCAATGGGTTCAATGCGATATGATAAGAGATACGATAGGTTATCTAACCTAAACTAAAACACGCCGGAGCAAACGCTGGAAAAAGATTTGTTGTTCTAGTAGAAAATATCCAGCGCCGTAATCGGATAAAATATTTAAAAATCACTAACGGTCAACTTCACATTACACACAGAATAATACAGATTACTAATCAAAAATATACCTATATCAGTGAAAAACTTCATCTATTTCCATACAAAACTTCATTCTATTTCCATACAAAACTTTGATTGAATTGCGCTCTATCTAAAAGACAATATTAAGAGCTAAAACTTTCAGAGAATTGTTTTTTATCAATATGGAACCATTTGAGCCCTTGGGAGCAAGAAAATTCGAAAATGTCTATATTAAGGACCACCCTAATGTATATATGTTTTTTTCATAATTTGACGATTTTGAGTTTTATGTGATTTACTCGACAATACATAGAAGTAATCAAATAATTTTTTGACGTTATTCTTGTCTAAATGACAATTGCTCAACTCTTGTTCTTGAACTTTGTATATGCTCTGGATGCGGACCAATCCAACAATGAACATTTTTTTCGATCATAAAAAATTTTTTAGTCTTTTTTATCAGGCTATATGTCCATTTTTCTGTAATTAATTCGAAAATAAATAGAAGTATTGAAATAAAAGTTTTTTGACAATATTTTTAAATGACAATTTCTCTAATTCTTCTTCTAGAACTCCATATATGCTCTGAATGCCGAGTAATTGTCGAAACAATAGATTTTTTTTTCGATCATTTTCGAACACTGCTTAACCCTAACTTCGTCTATAACTCGAAAACTATTAGTAATAAATACTGTATCATATTTCTAAATTCATATCAAATAGACTCTGCAATTATCAGCTCAATCCGAGTGAATAAATTCTTTCCAAAAAATGGCAAATTTTTAGAGTTTTTTTATCAGGCTATATTTCGAGTTTTCTGCGATTTATTCGCCAACAGATAGGAGTATAGAACTTATTTTTCCAATTGCAACTGCCTACAAGACATTCAGTAATTATTATGACTAAAGTGTAGAATAATCGTTTAAAATACTAGCCAGTGGTAGTTATAAAGAGTTTTGAAATAAAAGTTTTTTGTCATTATTTTTGCCTAAATGACAATTTCTCTAATTCTTGTTCAAACTCCTATCTTACCTGGTTGACGAGCAATTATCCAAAAATGAACTCTTTTTTCAATCATATTCAAAAGCTGCTTATTGCATAATTTATTAAGAAATTCAAGTATCAAAGACCAAGAAAATATTTTATAACAAAGATGCTTGGCTTTAAAGTCGTTTAAATCATTGGAGAAACTGCCTACTCTATTTTAGATAAAACAACCTTTAAATTGTATGAGATTGTATCTACAATTATTTAATCATATTTCAATCAACACCTATGACATTTTCCACATATGGCAAACAATAAACAACAATGTAAGAGTTGTAATTTATTTTTATATAGCCGGTGAGATAATATGTTAAAATTTCTATGTTAATAAGTTAGTGAAACTGTATGAACATTTAAATTAACTAATTAACTGTGATTGACCAATATGTTCGTCATAAAGAAGTGGCTGAATTTCATGTATTGACGAGTATATTAGTGCGTATAGTAATCATTTACTATTTAAATTGTAATTAAAAAAAAAAACTAGTGGGGTGCATGGCATCGTGCCTTAAGGTACATTGCTGGAACTTCCCGTACCGTAATTAAAAATATTGGTACAGAACCCAAAAAAATTTACACAAAATGTTTACACATTATTAAAATCTCTATAAAATATCTGATAATTAGATGTAAATATGTCCAATTAACAGTTTTGACCGCCAAATGACATTTTTTTAACTTATTTTTATTGAGAGTCCAAAACCGCTGGACCTGCTTTCCCATAATTAATCAGTTTTTCATCTTGTCAATACAAGTAAAATGTTTTTTGAATTATTAAAATCGGACGCTCCGTTCTTTTAAAAACTGAGTTACCGTTTATGGCACTTTTTGCCCCGTATTATTGGAACGGCTAGACCTGCCTTTGCCAAAAACTAATCAGGACGTCTCCTTATCAAAACAAATCGAATATTTTTTGAATTATTCAAATCGGTTGATCGGTGTATCCGCACACACACCAAAGGTATGCCAAAATGTTCGAAAACCTTTGAAGCGTAAAGATATTTAAAAAATTTCAATTTTGGACTTTTTGCGATTGCTATAACTTACCCTATGGGAAGTTAAATATATTTTGAAATGCCAAGATGTTTAGAATATTTGAAGGCTATGACCGAATAAAATAAGTAATTGTAAGTAAATATCTAATATGTATGTACTTTTATTTCATATTATATCATACATATGTTTAATTGCAATATGTTTTTAGATGTCTATTAATTAACTTTCTGTAGAGTAAGTTATAGCAATCACAAAAAATGCGTCAACAATTTCGAAAAAACGGATCAACCAATTTGAATGGTTCTAAACACGATCGAAGAGTATTGATTGTGAAACGTGCTGATTAGTTTTTGTCAAAGGCAGGTATATCAGTTTCAGAGATACAGAGGAAAAAGTTAAAAAAAACTACCATATTTATATCAAATTATCAGATATTTTATAGACATTTTATTCTAATTTTATTAATATTCATAATGTTTAATCAACACAGCGACGACGTGGCGCTATCGCGTTCCGATATTTCGTTTCTAAAACAGCTACGCAGCACAATCGCTTTAAAAAAAATCACAATTATCAAAAATTTAAGATATTTAAATGTTTTCAAAATTATCAAAATGTTTTAAAAAATCAGAATTAAAAAAAAAACAAATTTTCCAAAATTTTCAAAAAACTTTAAATTACGGTACGGAAAGTTAATGCAATTTATTTTAAGACACGATGCCATGCGCCGCAAGTTTAAATATTAAAATATGATATTAAAGAGCACGAAGAGAGCGTAGAGAGGTATATTCTAAGTGTGCTTCGATTATTCAAAATAATTATATCATTATTGTCAAGTTGAGTCAGAGGGCACCCACTCGCCGATACAGCACTGTGATGTTGCGATCTCAGGTAAGTGAATCGAAAACCGGAACACAAGAGGCCACGCACGGGTCCAGCACCATCGCAAAGCGCAGCACACCGTCGACTCGGTTCTGGGTTCTGGCGCGCCTCTCCGCGCCTTGGAAACGATCAGCTCAACAGTCTCGTGTTTGCCATCGAGCCGGCAACTCGACAACGCGCTCGTTTCGAATTCAAATTAACATAATTACTAAGAAAAAGTTACACGAACGCTGCTGAACGATTTCCACAAGTGTTGATCAAAGGAGCCGACCGCCTACACTTTCTAGTGTCATGTGACGACCGTGAAAAGTGCAGTGTTAACAGTGAATAATGTGCTTATTACCGTCATCTTATAATAAGATGATTTCCATTAAAACTCACAATCAGTGTCCCCGAGGGATGAATTGATTTATCTATAATCATCGGTAAGATTTATTATGATCACATCTCACTGCCTACATGCGTGCCTGCTTAAGTCATCTGGGTGATTTCAATGTTAATTGAATGTGTGTATTATTATAATAGCTACAAGGAAATTGTTGCGAAGACTTATTAGTACATAGCAATGGAACAACGTTAATGATATTTTGAATAGTAGTTTAAAATTACTGAACCGTGACAAAACCTGTACAATTTATATTGTATGGGAAAAGGATTGATTTGCATATAAAAAATATACGTTTGCTTTAACACACACCAAATCATAAACAAACACAAATACACTTCTCAATAATTAAGATAAATTTTACTTTTCAAATTAAATAACCTTATTGGAGGGTTATCTACCATGCCAATTTTTATACTCAAGTACAACACTACTTGGATTAACCCTTTCCACTCGCGAATTCCAGAAATTTTATGTATTTTGCCGCCAGAGTGGCGGCATCCGTGTCGAAAGGGTTAATATTGAACCAAACAGCCGTAGAACAACAATATGTTCTGACTGCTGTTAAATAATGTTAAAAAAAAAAAAAAAATTAATGGTAATATTAGACTTTTGAAATTATACTCTTCAAATAGAGTATAAATTATAGAGTAGTACGGGGCACAAATGTCCTGTTTGACTTTGAGCTATTATATTGTGAAAACCAAACCAATTATATCACAACCAATAACCAATATCAAACAAACAACTATCGGACTATGTTCAGTAAACCTCCCAGCTAATTCATCATTGTATAAATGTGTTTTTCTGCTGTTTTTTCAAAAATTCGTCATCTGGTCCTTTTTATTCCATAAACGGGGTAAAATGGGACGGCCGTGAGCAAAAAGGTAGAATATCTTATTTTTAATTCTAAACGATTTTAGGAAATAATAGCTACATTATTCGACAAATGCAAAATATGAATTTTATAATTATTAATTATATCACAACAAATAATCCATATCAAACAAACAACTATCTGACTAAGCTCAGTAAAACTCCCAGCTAATTCATCATTCTAGAAATGTTTTTTTTTTGCTGTTTTCTCAAAAATTTGTTACCAGGTTCTTTCTACCCCATAAATGGGGTGAAATAGGACGGCCAGGGTGCAAACAGGTCCAATGTCTTATTTTTAATTTTAAAGTGATTTTACTAATTAATACCTGCATTATTCAACAAATGCAAAATATAAATTTTATGTGTACATTTTTACAGAGTTAACACTGTGTATAACCTTGTTCTGGTATTTCGTCAGCATAGTTCGAATAACTATTTATTTAATTTATCTCTTGTAAAATTGCTTTTTTTACCTTAATGCACTTTTTTATTTACTACTTTTTATTTTTTGCCAGGGATAAGGTTCAGTTGGTCGTTTTTACCCCACTTACGCGTAAGCTTTTATAGAGGTTGTACGAAAAAAAAACTGTTGAATCTAACTTAAAATTAACAATACATCTTATAAAACAATTAAATAACGTATACTTAAAAAATATATTAGAGTCTTGTAAACTTAACAACAGTGCTCACTACCAAAAAACCTAACAACGAAAGAAAATATTTTTGTTGTGGATTTTCAAACATTGTCGTTTATCTCCTGATAGCGTCGCCGTAAGAATCTAAATGATGGTTGGTATACATCTTTTGCCCCCTACTTTCAAATATTGTTGTTAAAAAATTCTTAACTTTTTTGTTTTTGAGATATACGTGGTGGACTTTTTACCCGCGAAATAAAATGTTACATTAATCACATTAAGAAATCATTAATCAAATATTGTTTTACTAATTAAAAAATCAATGAAATCAAATGCATAAAAATATTTCAGGCATGATTTGTTCCAATTCTTTGTAATGAATGTTGTCATTCTTGTCGCGATCGACTAACACCTATTTTTACATACAAAAACATACAGATTGATATGTACATGTAAGCTTAAATTATATCTTTCTCACAATATTAAAAATAAAAAATGCCATAAAAACATGTAATCACGAAACCGTGAACGTAGAAAATCATAATAGCTTCTTTGCCGGTTTTGTTATTGGATCAAGGCATTATAACTAATTTTAAATTATCAACGAAGCGGTTTAGTTGCTCTATTAAAAAAGCAACATGTCTATTTCGTCATTGTTTAGTGAATATAAAAATATGTGTGATTTTTTTTTATTTGTCGCGCGGATGATCGCATAGGTCAAAAGGCACAGGTGCACGAGACGCAAATATGTCGTTTTTACAAGTGGTCCGAGATCTTTTTTTTTCTGGACTCGTTTTTTATGATTTAATTGATGTCTGCGTTTAACAAGTCTGAAAATGTCATAAAACGAGATGTTGTTTGTACTTACAGTGGATAGACTAAACATCTGATTTTCAATAGCTTCTAATAATTTAAAAAAGTCTAATAATTTCAGTAGGATAGAGCGTGAGTAAAAAGGTCCACCATCAATATCTCAAAAGCAGGCAAAGTATAAAAATTTTTGATGATACTATTTTAAAGTAGAAGGCAAAAGACGTATAACCAGCCATTACCTTAATTCTTATACCTTCGCTATCAGGAGGTAAACAAAAATGTACCAATATTCATACCAAAAGTATTTTTTTCGTCGGTAGCTTTTTGGTTTTGAGCTCTTGTATTTAGTTGATGATACCTGAATATAATTTACAGGTATACGTTACTAGAATACCTTGCATGTGGTTGGGGTAAAACGGACCAACTAAATCTTACATTGGCAAAGGTGTGAACAATACAAGAGATAAATTAAATTAACCCTTTCTACTCGGATGCCGTCGCTCCGGCGGCAAAATACATATAAATTCCGAAATTCGCGAGTGGAAAGGGTTAATAGTTTTTCGACTGCTATTGAATATTTATTTCAAAATACCAGATCAAGGTAATATGCAATGACATTTTTGTAAAAAATGATCCCATAAAATTTGTATTCGACATTGGTTAAATAACGTAGCTATTTTCGTAATCTCTCTTTAAAATTAAATAGAAGACGTTGGATCTGTTTGTCCCCTGGTTGTCCCTTCTTACCCCGTCCATGAGCCAAAAAGGGAGAGATAACAAATTTTAGAAAAATAGTGAAAAAACTTATTTCTATAATTAGGAGTTAACAGGTAATTTTACTGAATATAGTTCGGTAGTTGTTTGTTTGATACATTTTATGTGATGTGATGTAGTTCATTTAGTTTAGACTCAAAATTGGACAACTTAGTCAAATTGGACCTTTGTGCCCCGTTTTACCCTACGTACAAATTAATTATTTATGAACAATGCAATCAATTATATATATAGATACATTAAGTGCAGTAAAAATAACTGCATCTTATCTTTTAATTATATTATGATATCATCAAATTAATATTTCTTAATTGTAAATTTAATACCAAATAAACGCCATTTAATATTACAAAAATAATATTTTTGTATATGTATATAAGAGTAACGATTATTTATTTTAAAAATATTACATTTTCATTTTGGTTTTATTTCGAATAAGGAAACTTTCAAATTCAATAAATCACACTGAACAGGTATTCTTTTTTCAAAGCTCTACCTGTATTTAAACCCTTACAGCTCGTAGGTAAATCAGATAAATGGTCAGGTGCAAAAGATCCTTAAATTAAAAGTGAAACGTATTTAAAAGCATATAACAAGTAAGAAATAAATGACCGACACAAAATAAATTTGGAAATAGAACAAGATTTTTGTAGTATTTAGAGTATGTTTGGTTTAGTAACTTTGGTAAAGACTCAAAATAGTATAAAGGAGGTATTCTAGTGTAAAAATTCAAAAAAATTGTTTTTTTTTTAATTTCATATTTTCAAAGTTTAACTTTCTAAGAATATGGGTACGAGGAGGTTTTTGAAAATTTGAATTATTTTCGGAGATATAGGCATTTTACTGACTCGGTCTCCATACTGGTTTGGCTTCACGCAAAACTTTAAATGAGTTTTTCTCAGAACAGACTTTTTCAGTACTGTTGACACGATTTCTCGAGTTTTAATCGACCGATTCACTTGAAATGTTCAGAGAGTCTTGTTTATAGACCTATCTATAGCCCGAACTAGGATTATCCCCAAATTCCAATTCTTACTATTTTTAAAAAATTCGAGAAACTCAAAAAAACACTTTTTTTTCAAACAGTCGCCAATTTGTAAAAAATAAATGTTTTTACTCATCGCTAGTTCGGGCCATTGCGACATCATTGTAGATTAATATAATCTTTTTATTTTTTGCATTTTCGTTGGCTAGGAGGGCTGAAATCATGTCAAGACTGAGGTTCTAATTTTTTGAGACCACCCACCTCATCAGCTGTAATTTTTACAATTTTCAACTTTTTTATTTTTAATTTTTTGTTTTGTATTTTAATAATATTAATAAACAAGTGATAAAAAAATGGATAGTAAAAACATTCATTACTTTCTTTTACGACACTTTAAAAATGACCTAAAATTCATCGCTCAACACTAAAATAGTCCCTAAATATACTGATTGCGGCTTTGGTGATGTTTTTGCCACATAATTAATATTATTTAAATATAAAGTAATAGTTATGTTTAATGTATTATTGTTCAAATAATATAATGATATTTCACTTGAACATTTTTATTTTTTAATAAAAAAAAAATAGGTATTATACGTGAGATCTAATCATTATTAATAGTGATAATAATAAATAGAAATTGGATCACTGATAACACAGAATGAAGTTCTAAATGCATATATGTATAATATTAAAAAAAGTTTTTTTTTAGATTTTTTGCAATTGTTTATTTAATTTTTAACAAGTTATTGAGTTTGTTTTTTTTAAATTTTTTTTAATTTCATTCTATATAAACAAACACATTGTATACCTATGCTCATTTGAAGATACCAAAACAATAATTATAGCTTTTCATATTAAATGAAATGAAAAATCTTAAAGAACAAAAACAACACAAAACTCACTAATTTGTAAAAAAAATTGTAAAAAATCTTAAATTTTTTTTTTAATATTATA